ACTAACACAAAACGTTCCTTACATTAAAGCCCTTTACGTGTATTAATTTAGCCCTCTACAATTTGTACTAAGCCACGTCCGCCACACGCGCCCTCTACCGACTAAATAATACTATAAATCAGTTTCAAATATAAAATAACGAAATTAGTACTTAGATTTATATCTAGACGGCAGTTTAGCGATAACACACGCACTGGTTAGGTAATATGGTCATATTGTGGCTTAAGTCCAAGCCTTTTTGACCTTGAAGTGACTCCTAAATGTTACAGCCTAAAAGTTTAGGCTATGGTCTATAATCAGAGGCTATTTGGTACCTTTTGAACCGTATCTCGGATGTCGTAAGGCGGTTATAAACGCCAAAAGTTATACATGGTGTAACCAAAGAAATAAGTGGTTGTAACTGGTGATTACCAATCGCTTTGCCAAAATATATATGGTGGTGTGGTGATTGCTTCATAGATGTCTTGGCAGAAGCAGCAACTTTTGGGAAAGTTAAAATTGAAACTGTTTCCTGAATACTCAAGAAAAATTTATTTTGTTTGCCAAGTAATACAAGTGAGGGAAAATTGTGTAGCAGACGATATCGTTTCAAAACAGTACATTATAATTGTTTTAAGTTAATATTGACTTGAAGTTTAAATTCTCTTGTTCATAAGGAACATGCAACCAAGTACGTTGAAAAATAGGTAAATCACAGTCTCTTGAAACAACGACTGTGGCACCTGGCTACTTACACACACTTACACGCAGAACATACACACATTGACACGAAGGACATCTGTCATTTTCTTCAATCTGGTAACCCATTACACACGCACACATAACTGAAATTTTAGAGTTTCAATCATTTCTTATTGACATTATAGCCTCCTTTATTCAACGTCCTTGTATGCAACTAATACATTGTCAGCTTTAGCAGTTATACTTGAAGCTGTTTACATATTAAATTACTTGGTCCTTAGACTCAAGATGTTTATACTTAGACAGCAATTTGTATTTGCAGCGCGGTGTTATCAATGTTTCGAAGGTAGCGCTTTCACCTTTGTGGCGTACGTGCAAAAATAGAGTGACGTTGAGGGACAAAAACGAGTTCCACTACAAGTGTGTCGAAGGTTATTCATTAATTTGAGGACGAGACGCTTGTTATATTCGTAGGTAGAGATAGAAGCAGATTATTTACATTTTTGTTGAAGATGTGGCACCAAATACCTATACATTTGGTTTACCTTGAACGAATGTAGTGTTTGAGAGCAGGTATATAAAAGTTTATTAATAGATATTTGGTGCAATATATGTGTTGCGCATCCAATGATATTAAGAATGATGATAATAAGAATGGTTTATTGTTATTGACGATACCCGAGCATACGGCGCGTCGCGTTCCGCGCGCGCCTCAAAGAGCCATCAGACTACCACAGATGGGGCCCAATAGGGCCGATGCCGATTCGGAGTCGCGGAGAACCTAACGGGTAACCGGGGCTCCGGCTCGACGTGCAGGAGAAGGAACGGGGTGGTTTTTAGTCAGTAAGAGTCTGACACTCCCTCCCGCCTCACCCAGGCGGGAGCAGTCATTCGATGATTTTCCCCCCTTAAAGAAAAAAAAATTGTTATTGGCGATTATCTTAATGTTGGCGACGTGATTTTTACTCAAAATATTCATCGCAAAATAATTTACTTTTCAAACGAACTCTATGCGAAATGTTAATGAATTCTAAACCGTCTACACTAAAATATTCCCTCGGTATCGCGATGCTTTGTCTTTATGACACAAACCTTGAACTTGTGGGCTATGTGGATATGCGAGTACAAAACTGTTTCCATGGAGACCAATGACCTTGGAAGGTAAGCCTACCCTTAAAATGACCGTTGAATAGGGTCTACGTACACTCGAGAGTCCAAAATTACAAGTCTCAGATAATGATTACCATCGTGAATCACGTCTCGATCTTTGTATTACAATTCAGGGTCAGTGGTTTCCCACAAAGATTATGCCTCAAAAAAGACCTTTATGTGCTTTAAATCAACAGCTGTTAAAGAAGGCACTCTGAATAAAATTCTGGAATGGTTTACATCAACATGCTCCTAAATTGAGAAGTTTTTACTGGTAGTGTTTTGACTGTAAACGTTTGCCAAGTATTCTAAAATGGATAGTACTGAATGTGGTTTCAATCAGACACCTTCACATTCAGACTCACATGTAGTCACATATAGTTTTTTATTAGAACAGGCAAAATTGATGGAATGTCCCCACTTCTGGCTTTTCTCTTCCCTCTTATTCGATTTCAACAATCTCTTTCATCCTGCCCGACACAGATTAGCCTTTTATGTTATTTCTGATTTTGCTTTCATGCTAACTTTGTCCTTATTTTAACGGAATTATCCGATTTGGTTCAACAGTTTCAGAGTTATGTGCAAACGTATATTTCAGATTAATCTTTATATATATAACCTTACTGCAGACATAGCCTTTAGAACTTCCATTTTGACAATTGTTTACTAAGACAGTATCAATGGTATTTGGACTGAGTCCTGTCGAGTCTTTACCTTAATTTCGTTTGCGAAGGGCTTACAAAAATTACTCATTTATTTTGGCTCTTCGTGCCACCGCTTCATTTATTAACTGAGGGAAATAACGATCACCGAAATGTAATTTTTGGAGGTCATAAAGGTGGTATTTTGATTAGCGGATTATAGGATGACTCATAGTTCCCACCTTAATTGTGCTGACCCATTTCTCTCATCGGATAATATTAGTTGAGTAAGTATCATCACGTGAGAAGATGAAACTCTGGTGACGGCAGAGAATGCTAAATGTGTAATTGTGTATATCACCTCTACTCGTCCCGCGGGAGTCATAAGAACCGACTAAACTAAGAAAGTATGTAGACTATACAGACTACGTGACGAAGACTGCGCAGCAACGCTCTTTGAGAATCCTTAATTGCCCTTTTTAATGGCAATCTCCAATCCACCACAGCCAAGCCACGACAATTATGGTAACCCTTCTTACAGCAACGATAAACAATTAAAAATGTCTAAATTTCTATCATACTTTGATCATTTCGATGCAACTAATCATGAGGGGTTCTTAATCAGTTAACGTCAGAACTCCTACTAGACTTATCAACAGATACAACTGATAAATCGTTAACAGGAGATTAAAACTGTAAAGTGCATTTTGTTATTGGAACGATACGTAATTTATTGAATTATTTTATAAACTAGCAGCACATCCCGGCCTTGCTCTAGACAGATTCTCTAATTTTCCCGGTTTACCGAACACGACAAAAAGAAAATCTAATTTGGTGCACTCATTCGCAATCGCAATATGCGCGTACATGCATACGATTCGGAGATACATTTTCTTTATGCTCTATACATAGCTCTTAGAATGGGCATTTTTCTGTGGCGTTGAGTTAGTTTTGTTAAGGAAACAAATCTTAGATTGATTTAAATGACTATCAATCAATCAATGATCGTAAGGTTGAATATCCAAGGCCATGTCAGTTGAGAGAATATAGCTTGTAATATTAATATTTAGTACTTGTTTTCTTATTTTCCGTCTTTTCGCAGACGCTCATGAATTAATGAGAAGTCCAATTCCTTCCTTCTACTTTTCTAACAAATTTTGGGAACACTGATTTTTGACTCACTGAATGTTAGTATTTTTTTAAAGGTAATAATGGTGATTCAAAGTTCTTTGTCTTATCTTGTGGCTTCAGACTCTGAGTCACCTCTCTGAACAAAGTTACAATAATGGTCATCCAAATGTATCGGTTCACGTATCTGATCAGAAACGGTTTGTCCAAACAGTTATATCTTAGCCTTAGTCTACTCCTTCAAAGAGCCATCAGACCACCACTGATGGAACCCAATAGGGTTGATGCCGATTCGGAGTCGCGGAGAACTTAACGGGTCACCGGGGCTTTAGTCAGTAAGAGACTGACACTCCCTCACGCCTCACCTAGGCGAGAGGTAATCGATGAATTTCCCCCCTTTAAAAAACGTCTACTCCTTAGTCTTATAGATAAGTTTTATTCTTTGATCCTTAAAACCGGACATGATTAAAACAATATTTAGAAAACACACTACCTTGATAAATGTTAATTAACATATAAATGTTTTTGTGTACGCATATAATTGCCACCGTACTGTGTACCTATTAAAATATCTGTAAATGGCGTTTATTGCTAGCTTTACGCTAATTTCTATACAGTATGGTTCTATGAAACCGCATACGGAAGATAAAATTGGGTTTGGTCTTCAAATAAATGACCGAAAATTCAGTATGCAAGAGTCCATATTGTATGCATCAAATTCTAGTTAGGACTTATTGTAATTTTTCGCAATAGCTTCTTTCAAGCTGCCCAGCAAGAGGTGTTGGCTTAACCAGCGATGTCCTTACTAATTAATTAATATTTAAATCTTTAAATAAAAATCACTAACACAATTCTTTGTGATTTAAAGGTTAAGAGAAGAGCGCAGAGAAAAGTCGAAGGCTTCCCCCTACCGGTAGTTCTATCATTTTTAAATAGGACTAATGTATGTAGTGGAAAGTCTAAAGGATTGCCTATTGTGATCACATATTATCAGATTTCCATGTAGGTATGTAGCTGATAAAAGTAGATAATGTCAAACAAGATCTATTATAGAGGTATTATCATCTCTCATCATCAACCGATAATTTGGCACATGACTTATGCTTTTATAATTAGTTCTGTCAGCAAAATTAATAAAATATAATGAGCCTGCCAGACGGGAGACCGTCTGATATGTCAATCGATCTATTTTCACGATTTCCTCTCCACCCGTAGATAAACTGACGTCAAACAGCGTGAAAATGTTATGACCGAAAATATTTTGCGCTCACTCAAAACTTTTATCAAAACAACGACAAATTAATCCATAGGCAGACAGTTTAAAATGTTCCAAAAATAATATATTCTGGCAATGACTCAATTTTATTTGTTGGGAAAATGTGTAGGTGTATATGTACTTACTTCTAGCTCCTGTAGTTCTGGTAGAAGTACTTAGTTAGTTTATGTTGTAAGTAGTCGTCCCGCGAAGCACGAAGCGCGCGGTCGCGTGTTATCGCCGCACTACACTCGAACAACTGGCTCCGTCCATGACGAATATCTTTATGAAATATTTGATATTATCATGATGTTTAAATGATAGTTTTATCAGTTTTTATTAACACTCTTTCATCGGCGCGCGATGTGACAGTTCGTACTTTTGGCGGGAACGGAACAGTGCTTTTTTGTGCGAAGAAAATTTAACGGACAGCCTATAAGTAAACTTTTTTCAAAATGAATGTTACCGACATGTTTGACTTTCCGACGACGATGATGCCTGAGGTGTCGACTGCGGCGCCTGACATCAGGACCTGGTTGACGGATTTAATAGTCCAGGTTTGTTTATAGTCTAGTATAAACATAGTTTGATGATAGCATAACATGCAGTGTTTCTACAACAAAATTGTGTAAATCGTTCATTGATTGTGTTATTATGAAAGGAGGTACTTCAGTAAATAATTATCAAGTACTTAGAAGTTACTTTTTCATTAGTTTATTACTAGTTTGATCGAGATTTTCTCGCTAGTTATATTGTGTTTACGAAGTATGCCGCTATGGTGTAATATGCAGTTACGCTTTGGGTCACGTGATTCGTTTTAATAGAAGTAGGTACATTATGTTTTATAGTTTTTCTTATGTATTATTGCAAGAGATATGCATTTCATTAATGAATAGCTTGAATCTCTTTAGATTCCGGTATAGGTAAAATTAGCAAAAACTAGTTTTCTTAAATCTTTTCCTAGATAGACTTGACGTGAATGCAACAAAAAACTATCTGTTTCTAATGACTCTTTATTAAAAATAGAAAATATGTAGTTTGAAAACAACTTTTTTAATCACACCTCTGCACAACTACAGCCAGTTTAGTCCTTATAAAACTTATAGACCCTTATATCAAAGAAGTTTATAACATAACGGCTGAAAAGTTAATGTAGGTACTACTGGTCTAACTCTGCCTACACCTTTTCGAATTAAAAGGTTTGATGAATGTTTACTGTTACATGGTACTGTGGCCAATTTACAAAACAATACACGTAACGGTTGGTTCAATGGCGATAACCCTGGCCATATAATTAGGTCTGCCAAAAATAATTATAGCTATCGAACGAAGCAAGTTCGAAGGAAAATTGTCAGTAATGTTTTATGCAAAAATGTAGATGTTAAAAATGAAAAGTGTCTTTGGTTTCACTATGACAAAGAGGTTGTCCTCAATCGAAGAGTGTCTATGCAGGAATTAATTAATGGAGAATTATAAATGAAGCGAGATTTCATATTATGGCGTTCCTTTTTTTTGATATACCAATTGGTCTTTTACTACCCTTTCATTGTTAAAAAATAACCCATGAACAGTTTCGAAGTCCCATTCATCCCCTAGGTATATTCATCAAAATTGATTGAATTGATGAACGACATCATTCTAGCATAAACAAAAACAAAATTGCATCACAGTAAATTTCAATACAATCAAACAACACGAATCTTCATGTTGGCTATTATTTTTTTACAATCATTAGATTTCATGTAAATTTTCATAAACGATGTTCTCACGGAATGTCAATGTAATCTGTATGAATGGGTCGACGGGTCAATAACCCAGCTGAAAGAATAAATATTCAATCAATACATATAACACTATTATTATGTATAAACTGCGCAATATTTTTGCTAGTCCGTTACCCTATTAATAATATAAACAATAATAAGGCAATATTGTTTGGAACATATTATTATGTTATGCATGTAGAAGTTGTGCTTCGATCACTTTCTGTCATTTATTGTTACTTAGCAAGTTACTTCTAGGTCCAGTAAGTTAGTGCGAAGTTGAGTATAAGGTCTATTTAAAGATTTTTTGGCTCTTATGCCATTACTTTTTTTAAGGGGAGAAACATCCAATGACTTTGACTCCTCCCGCTTTGAGTGACGCGAAAATGTCAGACTCTTACTGTCTAAATACCCCCCGTTCTTACTCCTGTTTTGAGCCGGAGCCCCGTCAATCCATTAAGTCTTCCGCGGTTCTGGGGTCGGTGCAATATCTTCTTCCATCTATTTTTCCCTTTTTTCAATTGTCATCCTTTCACAAATTGCCATTCTTCTTTATAATTTTCTTAAACAAATATTAAGTAAACTTAAATGTAATGATTTCTACTTTGAGGACAAGCACCACAAGGCTATAATAATTACATGATATTTTATGTACTTCTATGCATAATTATTAGTTACGCGCCGGCGCAATTGGAAGTTTTAATTGTAAATGCATACTTTATTGTGATTGCTGTTACATAACGTCCATGCAGAAAGGTACTTTAAGAAGTCAAACAAAAATATAAAATTTGCTTATCTATCAGTTCTTTAGTGGAATAATACAGGGTGGTTGGTGCACCGTGTGTCAAATTGAAATGGTCAAAAAATCCACGGGGTATAAGGATGAGGGGTGTTAAGGGGCCTGAACGGTTACGAGATGACCCCTTCTGTAGACGATTTCAAGATGCACCAAACAACCTGTATAGTTGTTCCAAATTGTAGATACATTTGAAGAAGAACAGAACCAGCAAATTACTCCAAGGTTCTCATTTTAAAACATATTGATGTACCGTGTTCTAAATTTTACCATAGATTATCCCCAACTTTTCAATTCGGTCATCCACCCACCATTAAGTTATCTGTTCTACCATAAGCACTTTGTTCATACCTACCTTTTTAGTATCTTGCATGCAACGGTTCGGCTCTTTTACCGATCGATACGTCGCGATCCGTCCCTTAGTCACATAGTACTAGCTATGCATGTGCATACATTTCAAAGAAACCTTAATTTTCTAGGTATTTTTAAAGCTTTAAATAGTGTAATCTTTAGTCAATTTTATAATACGAGGGTTTTAGTGCTTTGGGTTACATTTGGGTATTTGAGTTTCATGTTTCGCGAATTTGAATTCATATTATTATCGTTGGATAGGCCCGTGCTATTCGGAATTCTGATTTTACATTTTGTGTAGACATTTAGGAATATCGGATGTACAATAAGCTGCTATGGTTATTAATGCTGTCTTTAGAACTCGGAAACAGAATATTTTAGGGATATCAAATACTTTAAAACAAATATATAACATGAACATTGGACAATGTTCAGTTTTAATCACGTCTTGTACAAAGTTAGTACACATACTTTGTGCATTCATTTAATATGATTCACTTTAAAGCAAAAAGTAAACCAATTTAACAGTTCAAAACTAAACAACGAAACAATGTTTAAAAAGAAGTCAATACAAAAATATGACAAGTTTTTTGTATTGTTTTTAACTATATTGTGATTGTGATTCATGGCATCCAATGCAAACTTGATGGTGACGTTCTTCGGCTGAAGTCTGAAAACATCTTTGTTGTTCACTTTCAAAGGCTTTGTTGACAATGCCTTGTTTCCACTTTGGATATCCTTTACATTCTTTCTGACGATCCTTTCCGTTTTCGAGTCTCTTATGGACAGTTCCAATAACTTCTCTGATGCCAGATTTGCCTAATAGAACTACATTTTTTTGTATTTTTACTTTAATTTGAAATTTGACCTAAAACCTAGGGCTAGTTCGCCTAGATTGATCTCTGAAACAAATATAAGTGAAACAAGTGAAACAAGTGAAACAAGTGAAACAAGTGAAACAAGTGAAACAAGTGAAACAAGTGAATTTATTTCTGCAAATAGGCTACAAGGCAGCACTTTTACACGTCAATTTTATCAAGCGAACGATGAGGTCGACATTTCCTAACTAAAACTAGACTAGTGGAATAGATATATAAGATGCGTATGAGATTCTCGTTGGCAATTTATGCCAAAGCTTATTATAGATTCCATACGTAGACTTCAATTCACTTTCATTTGAGTGTTTATTTGCTATTTGTCTCAAGCAGTATTTTGTTGCTCTAAGTAACTAGGTCCTGTTACAATTTGATATGGTGATAGCTATCATTTTCCTATTACCAGTAGCGTAAAATCCAGTAGGTAAAGTCATAGTCATACCTTTTAGGGTTAACATGTAACGACTGTTTTTGATCTTTGGCTAACAAACCATTGACTAATAGACCACTTTTGGGGACAAAGTATCAAATGCTGATTTCAGAATCTGCTTCATCTAATGATGGTACGTTGTCAAGATGGTGTGTTTTCTTGTGTATAGAATGAAATCTCTTTTATATTTTATTGGGGCCTAAATCTATGCTCAGTATTGCTCATTCCATAAGGCCGTAAGCAACGTGAAATATTGTCATTATTTTTCTTAGAATGAAATAGCTCTAGTTTTGTTCAAAGAATTATGACTTATTTTTTATGATGATCATTACAATTCGCAGGTTTCCCGTCAGTTAATTTATTAGTAATTAATTAAATGTACTATTTAACTGTTTTTTATTGGTTAGTCATTAATTGTTGGTTTTTCCCTATCCCTGCGTAGTGAGGTTTTGGTCACTTGGAAAAGTTGATAGATATTTTTCAAAGATTGGTGTTGCATGAATATTTTCTGTAACGGTTTTCTGTTCACGTTTTTGTTTTCGAAAAATATTATTCCAAATAAAAAAGCAACGTCCTCTGACTTTTTTTGCTCGTCGGATGTATAAAAACATTAATCGTTACGCAAACTTAAAGTCTGTGTGCGTTAAACACATAGTACATAAAAATATCTTGTATTATCCTATTGTTACGGCATGTACTTATATTGTCATTATTTCAATATGTTCTCGAGCCATTAAATGGTACTTAAACAATGTTTACGTGTTGGGTGTATTACTAATTAAATTAACAACAGATTGTTAAACATGGCTATCAAACAATAGGACGGGCTGCACAGGGTGTGAAAAATTGTTGTGACATGCGTGTTTTGTTTTTGTAAAATTTGAAGGCCACGATGGGATATGTTTGGTCCTTAAAATCATGTAAATCTTAAAACAAGTTGAAATTATGTTTGATACCTTTTTGAAACAGTCATTCCATTTAATTTATAATTGTCTTGCGTTATGGAGGTCGCCAT